CCATGTGCCTCTTTAGTGCCCTGTCCTTAATCTCCTCATCTCCTTCACAGCGTGGGCTAAGTTCTCTGTTTGTCATTAGTTTATCTGTGACCTCCTTTTACTTTAGAGCTCTCTATTTTTTTTTTTTTTGTATTCCCAGAGTGCTTCCTCTTCCCCCATACTTTAACCTTTTTCCTTAATGTTTTGAAGGCATTTTAAAAGTTAATTGTTTAATGAATTAATATTTATGATTTTAGAGTGGATAGCATCTTAGCAATTGAGCCTCCCATCAGTCTAAACCAGAATGTTTCTGTAATGTCTAGGGTGACAGTGTGGCCATTCAGCCTTTTCTTAAACATATCCACTGACAAAGAGTGCATAAAGTTTAAAGAAGTGCTAACAGTAAATGCTGTAACCGATGAAACACTAAGTCTGTATATACTTATTACATTTTGAAGAGGATTTTAATCTGAACATGTTAGAGGCAAAGCTTAGGTCACATAGCTTGTGTTTGTGGAAGGAGAATATTTATCAAAAGATAAACTGAGAAGATACCATAAAGAGCAAGAATCAGAACAGATTTTATACTGATTATAATTCCCCAGGAGTTACCCTTCCTTCTATTTTTAATAGCCAAAAGCAGATGCCATTAAAGGAAAACCATAAAGCACTCACTTTTTGAGTTTGTGTTTTAGTACCTCCTCCACTTTCACATTTCCATCATTTCCCCCCTTTTTGTGACTGCCATTTTCTTCTCCAACTTTTGGGGATTTGTTTTTTGTTCTTAATTCTATCATCTTATAGTACATAGCACAGAGTCCACATTCATGTGGATCATGGGCCTCTTGCAACCTCTGATAAGAAACTATCTGATGTGTCTTCTCCTTGTGGATTGTAGTCACTTTAGGAACCCAGCCAGTACCTTCCCCATAATATGGGTCACAGGTCTCCAGAACCAAAGGCTCTTCATTGTATAGTGATGCAAGTAAATACTGATGGCCTGACTTTTTCTTTGCAATATTTATAGTTCTACAGACTTTTCCTCATATTTGTTCCCAGAGGACAGTTACTTTCAGTGTTTTGTTATTTGACACTAAACAAAGTCTTACAGGTGTTGGATCAAATTTCAAGCTGGCAAAAAAAATAAAACAAAATAATTTATTGTCAAAATCCAAGTTAAAAAATCCCTTTTAAAGTTTTTAATCCTGATGATTAAATTTATGCTTATTTAAGAAAAATGTTATTAAAATTTCTCCTCATATATTAAAACAAAGATTATTGTAAGGGTCAAAATTTGTCTATTCACTGTTCAATAGTAGTTACATGGCTATGAAGCTAACACTTATGTCTAAGTTTGCATATCTAATAAATGGTAAAACCATAATTCAACCTTAGTTTTCTGATTGGATATCTATTACTTATTCCACTCTCTAGTACTAAGTTCACATGCTTAATTAAATTTCATTAGTAAAGCTACATCTCTACATCATTTAAATATTATTTACTTCTGATATGCATATGTAGTATTTGTCCTTTTATACAATATAAAAAGGAACCTATATAATATATAATTGTGAAGGATACGTTGAGTGCCACAAACACGTAAAAATCCTTATCCAGTTTAAGATGGGAAATTGCATCTGCAATAAGGTAGCATTTATTGAGCACTGCCACCTTGCCCGGAATTATACTTTATTGGTATCATCCATCTCTAACAACAGTCTAATTCTGTCTTATTTTCTGTTCCATGTCCATCATCAGTGTAGTGTACTCTGTCCCTGCCAACTTTCTTCATACTAATTGTCAATTAATCATAGTGTGTGATGAAGACCCAATTATATTATAAAATTGCGGGTGTTTTACAATCAGCCTGATGAAAAGCAGAGAAGACATGAAACAAATACCTAGATTCTCAGCTTAACATTTGCATATCATCATGAACCTTTCCCCCAGTTTTGCATAGAAAGCAAAGGAGGAGGAATATCGGGTCGTTAGAAGCTTTTCAACAAATATTAAACCTTAGGAATTCCTAGCATTTATAAGCAAAGACATGAATTCTATATAAAATTCAGATATTTTTAAGGACCATGGCAAGCTTCTGTTTGCTGGCAGTGGTGTGCCTAGTAACGTACCAGGCACAATAGAGCCTACATGGACTAGGGAAATAATGTTCTTGTTCATAATTGTGTTATATAACTGGTTGTTTTATTCTTTTGTTCCTCTTTGAATATGTAGCAGCACAAAATTGTAAGACAAATGTTTTGATTGAACTGCCACATTATAAGATGATAGAGCAGAACACATTATAGAAAACATTCTAGAACTATCTGCGCCAAGTGCATTATAAAAATGGAGACCTGCCTATCTGGCACACAGTGTATTTTTCCTTTAGACTTTCCAAGCCTTCATTGCTTCTCTTTTTTTTTGCCATCTTTTCACAGTATTTAATTCTGCCCAGTAATAACTATAATCAGTGACTATTTCTGTGCTTTGTGATCTTTCTAATACTATACTCCAAAGGAAAACAATGAAGTTTGTGATTATACTAGGGAATCCCATGAAAAAAGTTCTACACTTAATGACAGTTTCATCATACACATCTGTGTCATCTGGATATCGAGTCATTCCGTTATTTCTTTGAGAGGTTTATGAGTTCAGAATTATCTCTCACATATCCACATTTGCCTATTACCCCACATTGGTCTCCCAAATGGGCTATCAGATAAAGAAAATTAAGGAAATATATGCCTCTCATAGACCACCAATGAATGGCAAGGAGAATCTAAGTAAACTTTCTAAAGGCAATTTTCATAAGTTACAAAATAACTCTCCAAGAGTATAGGTTAGTTAGCATGTTAGATGGAAAAATTTATAAATAGTTGAAATTCTTAAGTCATGAATCCAGTTTTGCCATAGTACTGATGTTTGAGCTGAATATTTCTATATATTCTTTCTTCTGTTGTTTATGTTGTTCCTTCCACATAATAACATGGAAATTTTAATTCTGATAAAGGAAAAGTAAAGACACTAAGGCACACAAAGCTTAGGATGCTGAGGAAGGCAAATCTATCAATAAAATACTATGATCCAAAAGGTCACAATGTGAATCTGCATTATTTCCTTCATCACTTAGACATATGAAGATACCATAACAACTTAAAAACATAATGAGAACACTCTCAACTTAGGTCTTTTGATATTTAAGTGAAATGGCAGAATGAAGGACATTGCAGAACCATTTTTTAAAAAGATGTAGCTAAGTTTTTGATGTACACATGGAGAGGTTAATTCTCAGGATACATTCTTCCCAACAGGCAAAACTACTTAAAATAGTTCATGTATAATTACTGATGGTGTAATGACTGGTAATATAATTATAAAAATAGTTACAAATGTAATAGCTCTTATTTCCCTTACCTTATTCTGCTTTAGCCTTATAACAGTTAAAAAAAAGAAAAACAAAAGCTATATATTTTTGTCCTCATTTTATAGGTAAGAAAACTCTTCAGAGCACACAGTTATTTGCACATAGTTGGTGATTATAGGAATGCTGTCTTATTTATTCACAAGTCCTTTAATCAATGTTTTAAAAAGCTAAACTGCTTAAATCTTGTTTAAATGTATAGAGCCCTTTTGGGAAACAATTTGGGGAGGTGGCTTGGTGTTGTAATTGATTAAACTTTTCATATCTTATTTGGCATGGCAGAGGTATAATGCCATAAGTAGGATATAGTATTAACTATATTTTTAACCTTTCTTTCTGTGGAGTTTATAAAATGTCATTCTCTCTTAATCTATAGATAAGGTAAAGAAAAAAATTGTTGAAAAATTAAATCAAAGCTAACTTTCATTCATAGTATTCAAAAACTATATCCACTTCTGGCTTGAGTTGAACATCTTTGCAACTGAAATGTTGGCGATTTTCTTTTCTTCATTGCACTGAAAATTGTTTTTAAGAGAACAATTGGAGTGAGTTTTGATAATCTAACATTCCCTTTTGCCATTCATTTTCCCATCTTTTACTCTCCAGTTTTCTCATATTGCAGATTTCCCGTGCTGAAGGATTCCTTGACTATGTCATACAATCAACATTTAAAACCCTATGTCAGTGAAAGTTAGTGAAGATGTCCTTAAATGTCAAGCAACAGATTTTCTTATTATGCAAAAATAATGATAATCTTAATCAAAAAAGTATTCTAGAAATAGTCTGTAAAAACCAAAGTATAAATAATGGCTGCTTGTTGCCATTTAAAAAGGGTTATTGAATATGTCTCCTTGACTATAGCAACCCCCTGAGGTGATTACTGTGGGGAGTGGATTATGAGAAACCTATGAGAACTTGACATAAGCACAGTTGTGCTCAATGATCTACAGACTGAGTTTGGCAAAGAGAGCTAGAGGCAAAATGTAGCACAGCTGCTTTTCCTAAGTTGTTCACAGTTCAGAGAAGTAGAGAGCATGTTTCTCTTGTTACAACGTTATGCCCCCTCCCTGAGAACTGTTGCTCCACCTCCTTGTTTACCACTGGATATAAAAGACTCCCTGAAGAAGGATGCGAGGTTTTTTAATGGGGGATTTTGTTTTTGATTGGTGGCTGCTTGCGAGAATGCTGCTGCTGCTGGCTGTTTGTGTGTGTGCAAGTATGAGAGCCAAGATTTAAGAGAGAACATGGAACAGTGCAAGTCTAAGGAAAGAGACTTTAAAGAATAGAAAAGAAGAAAGACTTTAAGGTTTTAAAGAATAAGAGAAAAGAAGCAAACTAAAGAAGAGTTATTAGAGAAAAGAAGCAACAAAGCTGTTGTGCGTCTCCATCCCGAGCTCCCAGCACACCTGGCCCCAACTTTGTCTTCTATTGTTTGTCCTTTCTGCATCTCCAGCCTCCCCTAGTTAAGTCAGGAGGAACAAAAGTTTGTGAAAAAGCTCATGAGAGATTACAAATGTTCCCTATTTTGGTACTAACAATATCAAATCAGAAGATTGTCCCAAAGTGATGACTACCATTTTTCCTCTTCCAATTGCAGGAGAAGTTACAGGTCTTTGAAGAATGGCAGATGAACGAAAAGATGAAGCGAAGGCACCTCACTGGACCTCAGCTCAACTAACAGAGGCATCAGCACGTCCACATGCACCTGAGGTTAAGGACCAAGGCGGGGCAGGGGAAGGACTTGTCCGAAGTGCCAATGGATTCCCATACAGAGAGGATGAGGAGGGAGCCTTTGGAGAGCATGGAACACCAGGAACCTATCCAGATACCAAAGAGAATGGAATTAATGGAGAGCTGACCTCAGCTGACAGAGAAACAGCAGGTAACTAAGGACTTTTTGTGGCCAGGACTTGTTTTGTCTTTGTAGTCAACTTAGTCTGAAAGTGAATGACAGTGCTGATCCTCTTTCACTAGTGCTAGGGCTAAAATTCCACTCAGTCAGAAGAAATAGACACCAAAGGGAGCACAAAGTCATGGTGACAAACCTGACTTTCCCCCAAAATACATTCTCAATCCCATTTCCCTATTTAATTATGTCACTTTAATTTTTATAGACAATATGTTAAATGCATGTACATTTTACCAGAAATTCGCAGTATTTTAACCTCTTGAAAGAAAGCTCCACAGTTTCTTTTTTCAACTTCTGCCCTCTTTGTTTTGAATGACACTAGACCTAATTAATTCAATGGGTTAATTAGAAGCATATTTATTTTGTGGTAGAAAGACTACAAAGTCCATTCCCCAGCCTGCAAAAGAAACAGAAAAAAGAGAGAGAAATAAAAGAAGGAAGATAACACAGGTACATACATAGGAACCATTTCATACTTTCTCAACAACTTTTTCAAAAATAATGTACAGATGTTTTGAAGAACATAAATGTGGGGGGGCGGGTGGTACTAGGGTTTGAACTCAGGGCTTCACACATGCTAGGCAGGTGCTCTACCTCTTGAAACATACCCCCAAATCAATATAGTTTTTTTATTTTTATTTTTGTTTTGTTTTTTCAATACTGTGGGTTGAACTCAGGGCCTACTACTTGTGAGGCAGATGCTCTCCCACTTGAGCCATGCTCCCAACTCTTAAGCACTTCTTTTCAAACATGATTTCAATATGAAGGGATTCAGGCATAAGGGGACAAGGACATGTCATAGCATAATGGTTAGGAGGAAGAGAAGAATAATGTCATAGACCAAGATTTTTCTATCATCATATCTTGTACCTACTGGTATTACATCTGCAGTACTCAATAATTGAGTGAGTGATTGAATGAATAAATGGATATAAAAAAAGAAGAAAGTCTTTTTTGAATCAATAGGAAAACTGTTGGGAAGTCTAGCTTTGTCCCTTGGATGCTCACCAGTTGACCCTCATGACTATGGAGGCTTGTAATGTACTCAAGAAAAAAAATCATTATACACAGTGTGCTCGGTCAAGTAGCAAAGAACCAGCATCATTTACTGTTCATTTGTTCAGTGGTCTTAGTGAAGTATTTAAGATCTGAGAGAAATCTATTTGTCAAGTCAGTGTGTCCTTGCCAGCTTCCATGGGAAGAAAATATAAATTAAAAAGAGACTAATGGATATTTCTTTTAAGTAATGGTTTTGGGAGCACCCAGAGTTTTTTTCAAAGTCAGCTCAACATATTTCAAATGGATCTTATATTATCTCTGGAGGATTGATTGCTTAACTTTTATATGTGTGTTCATAGTGACAAAGATGGTAAGTAATCACCTGTGAGTTGCCATGGTGATGTTTTCAAACTATAGTGTGGTTTGTAAACTACTTTCCCTCCAACAATAACAGGCCAATTATTGAATTCACAAAATATGTACATGTGGAAAGCAGGATGAAAAGGAGAATGTAACATTTTGTTTCCTCAGACTTACAAAGAATGTTTCAGTGATAGGTTCAAATACAATCAAATTTCTCTCCAAGCTTTAGATTAATAGAATAATAACTTTTACCATTGATGATTTATAAAAATCTCTTCAATTATGTAATTAAAATCATCCCCCATAAAAGGAGATACTCTTAAATATCAAGTATGGTCTTTAAAAATACCATGCTTTGGTGATGGAGACACTGACATGAGTTGGCACTGTATTTTGAGGTGATTATTCTAAGGAGGACCAAGAAGCTATATGCTAGCTCATTGTTTTGTCACTTACTTAAAACGTATTTTGGTATTGCATTTGTCCCTGTAAGAGCACTGTTAACAGGAAAATTTTCTCCACCAGATCTTCTGCTATATGACATGGTGTCCAGATCTGGTTCAATTCAAAAATCTTTTCTCTCCTGTCCTCCTTTGCTATAGTTGTCTCTTCACTTTTAGCAATAAATCTTTTCTCCAAGCTCATTTCTTTGTCGTCATCTCTATAAACAGGAGTATATGACCAACATCATGTCTCCCTCACCTTCCCTTCCTTTAAGAGCAAGTAGACCTACTTCAACAAAGAGTCCTACCTTATTCTCCCTCATCCACCCTCTTCAGTGTTCAATTTCCCTTATGGGCCATAATAACTTTTAAGGATGCAAGTCCCTTGCCAAGTTGTCTTTGATCTTATGCACTGAAAACAGGATTGGGGGGACAAGGTATGTTAGAAGGCAATAATACTTTAATTTTTTTCAGTACTGGGGTTAGAATGCTTGCTAAGCAGATGCTCTACCACTTGAGCCACTCCACCAACTTGTATTGTGTATATGTGTGTTGGGTATTTTTGAGATAGGGTCTCATAAACTGTTTCCCTGGGCTGGCTTCAAACCGCGATCATCCTGATCTCTGCGTCTGGAGTAGCTAGGATGACAGGTGTGAGCCACCCATGCCTGGCAAGACTTTATTTCTTCACAATTCACTCTTCTAGATTTTGTCTTCTTCCTTACGATTTAAAGCTAGTCACAGAAAGGTAGACCATAAGTTTTGATACCTAAAGTTTTTTTCTTTTCACTCAAGTGTCCTTTATGGCAGCCATGCCAAAAAGCATGAAAAAAAAATATGAAGCTACTGAGAATCCAGTCCCTTAGGAAAGCTCTTGTTGTAGTAAGGCCAAAGCATCATTTTCAAATCATTTTCCAAAGCATGAATAAGAGTAATGGCTTGCAATAATCCCTTCCTCTTTTCCACTTTCTTGAAGAGAGTGAGAGAATGAGTTCTAGTTCCCACAGAGTTCCAATTCTGTGACAATGAAGTTTAAGTTTCTTACGTAGGAGCATATCAAGCTGGTGTCATGCCACACCTGTAATCCTAGCTACTTGGGAGATGGAGATAGAAGGATGACAGTACAAGGCTGGCTGGGCAAAAGCAGGAGATCCTACCTAAAAACAAACCAAAAGCAAAAAGGGTTAGGGACATGAACCAATAGGTAAAGTGCTTGTCTAGCAAATGTGAGGCTCTGAGTTCAATCCCCAGATCCCCAGTACTGCCAAAAAAAAAAAAAAATCACATCAAAATTATAAGGCATTGCTTGTAAAAGGGAAAAATAGCTGATTTATAAAATCTGTAAAAATGTGACTAGAAAATCATTTTAGAAAGTAGGAACTAAAAAATAACCTTTCAAGTGACATTTAAGAACAAGGAACAGTAATTAATTTCTGTAATCATTGTGCACATGATTTGGCAATGTAGCTGGTTTCCACTTCATTTACTATCCGATTATCTATCACAGTGAATCCTACCCTGCCTTGTCTGACAATGGACTCATTCTGAATATAGTGTTTTCTGAGAGCAAAACCAGGATCTGCAAACAAAGTAGAAGTTCTGTGTATCTCATCTTGCTCTCAAAAACATCATCATTTCATTGTCATTCCTTTTCATCCATAGAGAGCAAAATATTTTCTAACTTCCTATTCGTCCTTCAAGGATTGCTTGAAGGTCTCTGTGGGAATTCAGTTGTTCCTTCACATCCATGGATAAAAGTAACTCTAGATCAAAAATATTTGAAAAAACTGCATCTGTACTGAACATGTACAGAATTAAACGATACACATAACAACTATTAACATAGCATTTACATTGTATTAGGTATTATAAGCAATCTAGAGACTAAAACATATAGGAGAATATGCATAGGCTATATGCAAATATCATTACATTTTATATAAGGGACTTGAACATCCTCAGATTGCGGGGATCCTGGCACCAAACTCCCAACAATATGGAAAGACAACTGTATGGCTTGGAAATTTTATAGCATTGTACATTTCCACAGTGCACTTCAGTTTGTAAAGCACCATAATATATTTTATCACAATCCATCCTTTCGGAATTTCTGTGAGGAAATTGTTGTCTTCATTTACAAATAAGAAAGTTAAGGCATAGAATGGCTAAGTGACTTGTCCAGTAAGAAAATGAATAAGCTGAATTGTGAATGCAGTGCTCAGGAATCCAGTGCAACTTCTTTGTTCTGAGCTGTCCTACACACACCCCCCACCCCAGCCAAAATGGTGTGGGATTTTTCCTATAGTTTATAATTTACATGGTTTTGTAAACATGCTGCTGGTTGTTAAGCTTTCAAGACTCTTATATGATGGAAGGTCCCCCCACTTTCATTGCTGACTGTCAGAATTAATTTTGTAAATGTTAGCATTTGCTCTTTATTAGAAAACAGTCATGGAATCTGTTAATTTTCTGTCATAGTTATGGGTGATACGACAGAAAGCTGGGAGGGACCAGGAAGATGACCTTAGCTGCCAACAGTTCCTCTGTTTGCAGATAGAGTCACCCATCCAAGATCACATGACTTCTTGCTTGCAGACCAGTGCTCTTTCTCCTACTTCCTGTGCCAGATTTGGAAGAGTTACCTTATAGGCCACTTACAGCAGTGACCTTATAGGCAAAGAGTTCCTCTCCTCATAGGACTCATATTTGTTATGTACCTTGGAGCATGACATAAAATCACAACTTAAGTCTCAGTTTTCAGTCTGAGAGGAAAAAGAAGGCTGTTCTAAGGTGCCTTAGACACCTTTGGGTGTTATAGACACCCAAACATTCAGATGTCTAGAATCAGGCTTCAGTGATTTTGACTAGTAAGAAACACTAGTCACAGTGTAAAGTGGCTTCATGACCATCAAAAGCCAGTGACAGCTACCTCTTGTGGTAAATGTAAACATTAAAGGAAATTTCTTCACTTTCCTCCCAGACATTCGCTAGGGTCCCTTTGTTCTCCCAGCATTCCAGACATGCTCTCCTGGACTGCTTCCTGTCCCAGAGGGGAGAACTGTCACTTTTTCAGAAGGTATAGAAAGAGTTGGGTCACCAACAGCCCTTTCCTACACGTTAGCATCCACATAACTCAAGTAGCCCAGAGACAGACAGTCTCAGATATGT